TTTAAGTCTTCTTTTCCTTTTTTCAGAAACCACACAAGGCCATCCACCGCAGGCGCACAGACCCCATGGTGACCTTGTCCTCTGTGCTAGAAAGCATCATCAATGACATGCGGGATCACCCCAATGTAAGAGGCGTCTACAACACGTTCACTTTACCTTAAAATTCTGTTCTTTGTTCCTATCCAGCTTCACCTTTATTACATCTACCTCTTCATTGTAGACATACCCGTTCCACACGCCAGTCAATGCCAAAGTTGTGAAGGACTACTATAAGATCATCACGCGGCCCATGGACCTGCAGACACTAAGGGAGAATGTGCGCAAGCGGATGTACCCGTCGAGGGAGGAGTTCCGTGAAGCAGTGGAGCTTATTGTCAAAAACAGTGCCACCTACAATGGTAGAGTTACAGGAACACACTTAACAGACTCAGCGTGGTTTCAGTGAGATTTCAAACCTTCATCAGTTCGTTGAGATGGCTTTCTGTTTTTGTCTCACCAGGGGCAAAACATCCAATAACGCAAGTTGCACAGTCCATGCTGGATCTGTGTGATGCTAAACTGAAAGAGGTGAGTGGATGTAAACATCATTGCCATGACCATGATTTGGTCTCTCTCCCCCCCCCCCCCCCCCCCCTTTTTTTTTTTTTTATTAGTTTCCTCATCAACTGTCAAATCTGTGTGTGTTTGCAGAAGGAGGACAGGCTGGTGAGGCTCGAGAAAGCCATCAACCCTCTGCTAGACGATGATGATCAGGTGGCCTTCTCCTTCATCTTGGACAACATTGTAACCCAGAAAATGATGGTGGTTCCTGATGTAAGTCACCTCCTTCAGTCGGTTTGAGAACAGTGATCAGTATAGAATCGGATAATAATCTAAGGCTCGTTCTTCCACTCTTCCCCTCTTTGTAGTCGTGGCCATTTCACCATCCCGTCAACAAAAAGTTTGTGCCGGATTATTATAAAGTTATTGTGAACCCCATGGATCTGGAGAATATCCGCAAGGTGAGAGGCTAACAGGATGTCAGACTTACCTAGAGTCATTTAATATTGGCAGCAGCATGAAGAAACACCCTGTTTGTGTGTCTGTGTTTAATTTCAACAGAACATCTCCAAACATAAATATCAGAACCGAGAGACATTCCTTTCAGATGTCAGTCTCATCCACACCAACAGCATCAAGTATAATGGTAAATGCTTTTATGGATCATTTTACCTCAGCATTTAATTTCTCTTAAAAGAAGTTTGACTAACTTGACTATCTTGTGTGTCTTTGACAGGTTCAGACAGTCCTTACACCAAGACAGCTCTCGAGATTGTTAATGTGTGCAAGCAGACTTTGGCAGAGGTGTGTAGAGGATTCTTAGGGTGTTTTCACACCTGTAGTTTGTTAATCCTGGAGCTGTTCACACTGAGAAAAATTCAGATGAACTCCAAGCAAAGTAAAATGTGTCACTACAAACCACATGACAATTTTCAGTCTGCTTTATGGCCAAATGTGTCTGGGCTGGGAGCACGTTTATCCAGGTGCTGTGTCATTTCGCAGCTAGTTGCTAGGGCATACAGACTTTCGCACATCTATAGTAGCCCAGAATACAAAGCATACATGGCTACAGGAAGTGGTTTTTAGCTCAACTTTTGCAACGTGCACCTTGTAGTTGGGTCAGATTGAGGTTGCCAAACAAGCTTCTCTGGAGTTCATTTGGAACTCCACACCCGAGTGCAATTACTGTGTTCACATCCGCACAACCAAACTGCACCAAAGTGGAAAACAAACCAGTTTAATTTAAACTAGCTAAACACTGCAGGTGTGAAAACACCCTTACTTTGCCCTTTTGAAGTTAAATAAGGCTGAGTTTGATTGAGCAGTTTCAAAGCAAAGTTAGGAGCAAATCAAAGGCAGTTTGACTCGTAGCTTTAAAAATGTTGCATTGACACAGAGTGGAAATGTGAAACCCGGGTGTGTAAAATCAGACTGTGAAATATTTGGAGTAATTACAGAATTGTGTTGCTTGTAATGTATTTTTAACAGATCTAAACAAGAAGAAAAAAAACAACCGCTTTAGAAATAGTCACCAATTATTGTGTTTGCAGTATGATGAGCACTTGACTCAATTGGAGAAAGACATCTCTACTGCTAAAGAGGCAGCTCTAGATGCAGCAGACCTAGAGAGTCTGGAGCCAATGACGCCTGGGCCATACACACCTCAGGTAAGACAGCATCCAGGGCCTAGTTCCTTTAGGCCAAACCAAGTACTCTAAACTTTTGTGCGTGCAGTAGCTTCCTTGCCACTCCTTGTATTGCTTCTCCTTCACTTGTTCTTTGCACTAACTCTCCTTTCCAGACTTTCACATTTCATTTGTACAATCTAGTTTCTTTACCGTAGTGTCTTCTTTTTCCCAACCTGTTCTTCTCCTTCGTTCCTGCCCTCTTTGCCGTGTCTCTTTGTCCGTGTCTCTGTGCGGTGTTGGCCAGCCTGCTGATTTGTTTGACAGCGGGGCTTCAGGGAGTCTGCCCAGAGAGCCCAGCAGCCTTTTCTCTGAAGGACCTCTAGTGGGTGGTCCAGAGAAGAGAGGGGGGCAGGTATGGAGAGACAGAAATAAGTCTTGCAGCCACATGCCCACCCCTCTTGTATCTATCCTCAAAGCATCCCGCTTCAGTAGGCATTTCTGTTGTACCACCTTCCACACAGGTGACAGTTTTTTTTCACCCTTGATTTGTTACCTGTCTGTGTGGCTGTTTTTACTCAAGTACTGCAGACCTGTCTGATTGATGTCTGATTGAGGCAAAGGGGCAAATTCATACTGCACTTTGACCTGATTCTGCAGACATTGTCCAGAGATCACATGTGAAAATGTCAACAGTAAACACCACAGTAAACAGTGACAGGCCATCTTTTAGACAAGTTTGTTTCCTGACCCTTTTCATTCTACCTCTCAGGGACGGCACAGCAGAAGACCAGGGGAAGAAGAGTCTGATGTGGATATTGAAGGCTTTGATGAGGATGACGATGGCAAACCCAAGACTCCTGCTCCTGTAAGAAATACAGATTTACTGATACTGAGCACATACACACAGATGTAAACTGCCTCCGTTCTTATTTACCTCATGTTTTTGTGACCTGTGTCTGAAGGCAGAGGATGCAGAAGGAGATCAGGAGTACGAGGACGATGACGAGGAGTTGTTGCTACCTCCTCGCAGGCGGGTGCATGACCAGGATGACGAGGAGGAAGAGGAGGAGGAAGAGGAGGGCGACGGAAGATCTAATCGCCCAGCTCAAGCTAGCGTGCTCTATCAGGATCTGCTCATGTCGGACGTAGAGGATGATGCCAGCGAAGAGGAGGGTGACAACCCGTTCTCTTGTAGGTTCACAATTATTCTCCAACGTTCAGAATCTAAATAGCAAAATCTGGTGGACACAGAATGTCTTTTTCTCTTGTAAAATGTCCTGATGAAATGCGTCTCACCCTCCAGCCATACAACTATCGGAGAGCGGCAGTGACTCGGACAGAGAGGTTGATGTGCGACCTGCGCCTCCACGGAGAACTCAGGAGACGGCCCGCATGGGCATGGAGCAGGACGAAAGTATGATGTCATACGAAGGGGATGGGCCTGATGGGCCACACATGGAAGACAGCAATGTCAGGTACAGCAGACCAACTGACCACAGTGAAAACATAAGAATGTAAATGATGGCAGTCTCCTTATCACAAAAGTGCATCTGGAAATGAGGATTTTAATGAGGGAAAAAATGACATTTAAAGCTTAATTTTCATTGTCATGAAGTATTTAAATAGTTTTATCGTATGCATATCTGTACCACTGAATCATTCCATGTCCTGATGTTATTTTAAAATCTCTTTCCTTGGTTTTCATCTCAGCTACGGCAGCTACGAGGAGACGGAGAGTCAGAGTCAGATGCAGCCATCTAGTTTGGGAAATGGAGAAGAATACGGCATCAGCGAGGAGGAGGAAGACGAAGAAGACGAGGCACGGAGGAGAGGCCCAGCTGTGCTCTCTCAGGTCCAGCTCAGCGAAGATGAAGAGAGCGAAGAGTTCAGATCTATTGGGGGCGAGAGCGACATGGACTCTGACAATTAGCTTCTTTCGATTTCTTCTTCTGCTTCTTTTGCTCCAGAATCACGAAAACTGAAACAGTTTTAAAAATGAGGAAATGAGATCTTAGGTAAATATGTGTACAGTGTTATTTTGTAAATGACTGTGTTAAACCAATTGTAGAAAAAAAACTGCACCTTGTAAATTTCAGTTTGTCTTTTTATATATGGTTTCTTTGTTTTATCCCATTTTGCTTCAGTTAAATGTTATGGAAGCTTCTTTCCATCACTCAAAAAATAAACATTTTTTACCACCTGTCAGTCAAAAGTTAGTTACTTTAGAGAGTTGACTTAATCAGAGGTTTGAGTTAATATGCGATAATAATCCATTTTGAGGTCAACCAAAAACTTTGGCCAAGCAAAAAGTGTTTGGGGTTTCTTTCAGTTGGTGGGGAAGAGCTTCCACAATATCCCAAATTCACAATAAAGGAAGAAAAAAATGAAGACACAATTTTCTTTGTTTTTTTCTAATACTAAATAAGCTGTAGCTCCTCTTTCTCAGTTTTGCTTGTTGAATGAACATAATTCCAGTAAGAAGTGATTGAGAGGGATTCAGATCCATGCAGTTCAACTTCCCTTTTGATATGTTAATATTTAACTCGTGTTAATATTTGTCCAATCCACTAGTCATTTATCATCAAACATAAAGTAAAAGCGATGGAAAGTAATCATTGAGGTGGAATATGACAGGACTTTAATGACTGTGGTTACAGTTGGAAAATTGTTGTAGATATTTTGACACACCAACAAAAAACAATTATAAATAAAACAAGCGCAAGCTGATCAAATAATTACACTTCTGTATGCATTTCCTTTTTCTCAACTATGTGGTGTTCTTATAGTGCCTGACGTTTAGTGACACACTGGAGCTGCTGTTAAGTGAATTCACGAACAAGGTCATAAACACAGTGAACAGCAGAGGGTACTCCAGCACACACTGAATGTCAGGTTTCATTATCTCAGCTACTATAACGCACTCATTTATTTACTATTACCATGATAAGCATCTGCACAGTGGCTTTTGTCTCCTATTTTAATTGAAAATGAGACATCATTAATAAAAAGAAAGGTCAATGTAAAGTCCACTGGGCCCGAGCTGACATATAGGAACATAAAATGGAGAAATACACCATCCCCTACAAACTCAAAGATAACTCCATGGCAAGTGCACAAGCTAGTGTTTGGGTAAGGATTCGGGTTACTCTGAAAAATCTAGGAGAAATATGTCAATTGGGTTAAAATAAATCATGCTCAGCGATACAAAAACATTAGCAAACAAAGGTGGCCTCTGAAGTAGTGAAGCTGCACCAACCCACATCTCTGTTTCCTGGAAACGCTTTGTTTGTGATGTCAGATTGTTTAACAACTCCAACTACTACGTAAAGGATACCCGTTTAGTGTTTCGTACTTGACGATGACAGACGGCACACTTCCTGTTGCAACAGCTCTGCAGAGAGCTGCTCATTCAGCTCATCGACCACACTGATGTCTATATTCATACTTGTAATCTATGCATGGTAGTTTGTGTACATGAGCTGTAGCATGCTTGCAAAGCCACTGATAATACAACCTACTGGCTCTACTGTCAGTATTTCTAAGATGTCTCATATGGGTGAATTTATAGGATATCAGTGCTCCTTACTTTTCTACATTCCTGTGACTTTAACACAAAACTTAAAAACCACATGATTTAGAGCACTGTGGTTGTGTCTGCCTGCCATTTACCAAGAATCTCTTACTGAGAAAGATGAACTAGATCTTTGCACATGTAACTGAAAAAGCATATGTTTGCCCGGAGCAGCATACCACAAAGGATTCTAATATAGGCCCAAATTCTTTCACAATCTAAATGTATTCATGAGATTGCAGAGGCTTATCAGCCACAGAAGTAAATAATTACATTGCATCACATAATTATTATTTTATCCCAGGTAAACCCACAGGGTAAATCTTTTATCTCTGAACAGGCAAATTTCTGCCCCAAGCTACAGTGGTTAGCCTCTCAGGTGAGGTAAAAACACGTCTGTGGACAGACAAGCATCCTTTAGCAGACTGAGGAATCCGGCAGGGGCTGAGCGAGTGAGACCTGTTCATCTTCTTCACGGCCGCTGTCCGGACTGATGAGCTTTTCATCGACTGCAACAAGCTGCCAGAGTTCAATGAAGCTGGGGAAAATGATGGCAACCAGCAACTTAAGCCCTCCCCCTTGGCAGATGACAGATCTGGGAAAGAATGAATGAATTAAAAAATAAGAAAATGGCTCACATGTAGTCATTAAGATGCAGAGTTTCATATTTTGCACATATTTTCTGGTTAAGAAATAAAAACAAATAACTGATCTAAACCTGATGGAAGGTAAGCGGTTTGGTCAGCAGGTTGGCAGTCGTCGATGTCTAAACTTCGGCTGTTCCTAACAGCCTGGAGGGAGCGGAGGCTGGTACGCAGGGGCGACCTCGTCCTGCCTGGTGATGCTGCTGCTGCTGCAAAAAACACACTGAGCTCACACCGAGGTAGTATAACCTCTAGCATCTGCTGATGTTTTGGAGCTATTTTACAAAAAAAGTTTCTCAAATGAAATGTGGAAAATGCACGACATGTACCATAAGAGAAAATCAAAAATAGGAGTTCTGCCTTGTGTTTTACTCCTTCTTGTTATGTATTTTATATCTTGTTTGTACCTCACTGTCAACCTATATAAAGCTGTCTGATGAACAGAAAGCTCTCAGCTTCAAAAACTGTTGAGACCATGTCACAAAGAAATAAAAAGAAAGAAGATCCTATCAGTCGTCTACAGTGAGTAAATCTCACTGTAATCCTTTCATAGCACAAGAAAATCAATCACTTACACTGACAGTATAAACATGCCTGACTTTGTGTACCTTGGTTCTGGGCGCGTTTAAGCAGCTTGAATTGGGTGACTTGTTGATGAAGTCTGGATGGTCTGGGACTGTGGCAGCACTCCTTAACTGCTGATATGGAAGAAGTTTCGGATTTATTTCCTGGAGTTGAGTAAGCAGTGTTTTCACCAGTGGTGTTAAACGAGGGTGGAAGCATCAATGGAGCCTCAGGGTTTCTCCTCTGTGAAGCAGTGGAAGGCATCGAGACAAAGTCCTGCCTCAAACCTGAAAAATATGTACATGTTATTGACTCTCAATCAAACCTTTAAGTAGCATGCTATATCACTACAAATATTTTTTTCTATACTCACTGGCTTCCTGCAGTTGAGCCATGATGCGGACATCTTGTAGCCTGTAGCTCTTTGTTACGACATCGAGGGAGATGCTTGGCTCACTGTGACCTGTGATTAATAAATTCATAAATTGAAGACATGCACTTCAGTCTCTCAGAGAAATACCTTTTTTTTTGTTTCTACTTTTCTGTGTGCACAATATCCTCAGGAAATCAGGAAGTGTGGCTGTAATTACTGTACGTCATATATTGCATATACTGCTGAATTTTTGCAGCTTGTCAAATATACCCGAGTCACACTTGAGGAAGTTGTGCCTTGTCTTATCTCAATTATAACAACCACACCCCCAAAAGATACCCAAACAACCAAACTGCGATGAGGAATAGATAGAAAATGACCATAAAGTATTACAGAGCAATATCAAAGCATAGACCCAATATGCAATACAAACAAACCACATGCTGTCTATTTGCTTTATGTCTTTGTGTCTTAATCCTCTGACAGATTTTTAAGCTTCATCATTTTTTTTTCCACCAGCATATTCATCGCTTTAAGTCAGTTAACTCTGAGCTGACATAAACACACATCTGCATGTGAATATCCAGAATCTGCAGCAGGGAAGGGGACAATATTTTGTCAACTGGAAGCTTCCCACTTTCTGTTTGTAGTTCATTCGTAGTCCGAGTGCTACTGACCAATCACAGTTGAGTAGGTAAGGCTACAGGCAAGTCAACAGTCCCCGTGGAGACCAAAAGAGGGATCACATTTCAACAAAATGCAATCTTTTGAACAATCTGCAACTAACTGCACATTTATCATCTGATGACAAGCATTTTGTTTATTAGCTTTATTTAAAAAAAAAAAATCTATCTTCACTGATGACCAGGACAGAAGAAAAAAATCCACAGTTGTCCCAAGAAGGTAAGTCGGCAGACTAGCTGATGGGTTACTAGGTTGTGTTTGTGCTTTTTTGTGCATGACCTGACACTGACACAACACAAGGCTGCACATGAAACAGACAGTTAGTTAACGAACTAAAACAACTGACATAAATTAAAGCTAACTTTATCCAAAGCTTATAAAAAAACTACATCATGTGTAGCTGTGCTGGAGTGTAAAGGTCATCTGTGTGTGTAGAAAAGAATGTAAGATAATGACTCAGGTTTCATGGTTGAAGTTCAGAGTATAACTTTTTAAAAAAGATATTACCTGAACTGTCAGATGTATTTGCTGCTGCACTGGCAGAGGTTTTATTCACAGAGGAGCCCACAGGGACCCTGGCAGCATGATAGGAAACTGCAGGACGTTTGTGGAGCTCACGTCTTGATCCTGACAATACAAAAAGTGAATGCCATTAAAGGAATCCTCTTTTATATCAAGGATATTTGTAAGATAATGAGTGTGTGAGTGAGTCTGTAGCGCTTGCTTGCCTTGATCCAGCATTTTTATCAGTGCACGGCATGCAGCTTCCATCTCAGGGCTGGGATTATCAAGAACATGTCGACACCATTTAAAAGCAGATTCCTTTTTCTCCACAGACGAATGCTTCCTTGGAGACTCGTATAGCCTGTGAGGAATAAGACGTTACGACTATGTAAAGAAGAGATCTGTTCAGAAGAGCTTTTAATACTGAAGAGTGCTCAGATTGAACTGTCCTGAGAAGCAGCCACCTCAAAGTCTTTAACGTCTCTTTAGAAGTGCACAAATTCAGGTTCATGTCTCTGTCATAACTCAGACTAGAAACAAGCTAAATAAAATGAAATACTTCTACATCACAAGCTGCACTGTCAGAGAATATCACTGTACATCTGATGGCATTTACCAGCTCTCCTCATCCTGCTCTTCATCCGCTATGTCAAGGATTTCCACCAGGTCCAAAGCAGTCTCTTCTTCCTGCAACTCTTCACTGTCCCAAGAGTGTTTTTCACAGCTATAATTGTGCAACATCCTGCTGGTGGCACAGTAAGGCAAGGGTGGATTGCACCCAGATTTCAAACTGTCCAGTCTTATTCTAGCATCCATAGCAAAAGACCCACTGCTACAGCTTTTCACTCTTGCCGGTTCAATATCGGCCCAGATGTTGCAGTATGCATCTGATTTACCCTGCGGCCACATACAGCTGCTTTTCAAATCACTAAAGAGAAAGTGGTGGTTCACACTTGTAGGTGGTAAATAGTATTGGCTCCAATCGCTCATCGTATGGTCCTGGAGTTCCATTTTCTGTGTGAAATCTTCAAATCTGCGTCTTTGAGCTCTCGTCCACTCTTACTCCTCCTTAATGAGGGTAGCTTCCAAACCGGGCTCTCACAACACCAGGCTAAAGGTTGGTTTAAACACAACTCTTTTTAAAAATTGTTCTACACATACAGCAACTGTAGCTTGACTTTACCTTCTGCTGACCCAGATTTATTGAGTGGAGCTGTTAAGTATAGACACGCAACAGATTGGATGGATTTAGGAAAGCATCACGAGCTTATGTGGATTAGAATCCACGAGTTGGCATTCAGGATCACACCATCAAGACTTACATGTGCGGGCAAAAAGATGCTGCAACTATTTCTGTGATTTCTCAGATGAGCGCAACACTACTTCACAGGAAAGATGTCCTCTCTGTGTGGTCATTACAGCTGTATATACTGTGCTGTTGCTACTGCTGAATGTTTGCAGTTAACAGCTGATCAAATGTACCTGAGGCACGGTAGAGAAAGTTGTGTTGAAAAGGGTGGTCAGATGCTCTCTTTTGTGCAGACAGATTAATAAGAAGGTTTGGGGTTTCCCTTACAACCATGTGAAGATCAATAACTCTCACTTACACTTGTGCATTTTTATGCAGTATGTTTGCAGAAGGCTAAGCCTTTTAGGAACATAAACCAACATCTAACTTTTTTTTTAAAAAGAAGCAATAATGCAAATTTAGTAGCTCCACAACATCTGCCCTATAATAAATTTAACTAATGATCCTAGTATTTAAATAAAAAAAGACAAGAAAACAAAAGAATTATAAACCTGATTAAAGTGGAAAATCATATTGAGTCCATTCCAAATTATCTTTTTAGAGTATCTTCAGTATACAGTCAATCACATACAGAAAGGTTCAAATTCTCTTATCATTGTTCGGTGTGATTAGGTGTGACATAAGTAGGCTATGTGAACAGTACAGGTGGGGCACATAAGCTCGTTTGTTGAGAAATAGTTCCAGCATGTTACGCCCCTGTGATTACAACTTGTTGATTCAACTTTTACAGTTTTACACTCAACTTTGGGGAGCAAGCCAGTAAAGAAGTTTCCTCCTGCCAAACTATGACGTCGCTGATAGCTGGCAAGAACTGGCAGGTTTACTTCGGCAAATCTGCTACATTTAACACTGATTTTTTTGTGCTATGGTTGGGTTAAGGGCAAGATCCAACCAAAATCCACCCAAGATTCAACCAAAGGCAAGATGTGGGTCAGCAGGGTCAAGGCCAGATGTCATTATTTATCTTGATGGGCGACCGTGGTTCAGGGGGTTGGGAAGCTCATCTTGTAACCGGTTGCCGGTTCGATCCCCAGCTCTATCTGTCCTGGTTGTTGTGTCCTTGGGCAGGACACTTCACCCTACCGCCTACTGGTGTTGGCCAGAGGGGCCGATGGTGCGATATGGTAGCCTTGCTTCTGTCAGTCTGCCCCAGGGCAGGCTACAACAGTGGTTTGCCTCCACCAGTGTGTAAATGTGAGAGTGAATCAATAGTGGAATTGTAAAGGGCTTTGAGTGTCTAGAAAAGCGCTATATACATGCAATCCATTATTGATGATAATTTTAATTAAATACAGTGGATTTTGTATTAATACAACTTTATTTTTATTTTTTTAACTTTTATTTAGGTAGCTAAATAATTTAGGTGTATATCTGTACAACAAAGTAAAATGGGTGTGAGTGGAAAAGAACCAAAGAATTTTAAACGTACTACCAGCCCTGAGTTGCTTTCTTATATTCTTCACTCAGAATTAAGTCAGTATTTTGGTGCCTTTTAAGTTACACGTTGATGATGTACTTTGAAGGTGTGAAACAAATGCAAATGAAGAACATAACATGACGAAATTAACATTATAAGTTGTTGTGTCTGCAAAGTTTCATTCAGTTTGGCACATCTTTTAAGGAGGACATAGGGCATACACACACCATACATGTAGTAACATTGTCTTTTTTTTACTAATTTCAGTGAACCACCCTATTGAATAGCCCCAAAAGCGACGTACAGCTGTGTTTTTGAGGGTGAACTGAGAAGCACAGTAATTATCAGGTTAAATCTATTGTCCTTATAGTTTCTAAAATTCAATTCAATCAATTTTACAAAGCATTTTTGTTGATAAGTGTCCCAGTCCAGTCTATTCTCCTAAATTACCCATTTGGGTACAGTTATTTATTCTCGACAATATCACAACCCATGTGTGGCACATAGGTGAAGATTACTTATGGAGTTTAGCATTAATTACATGTTAAATCAGACCAGTTGAGCAAGACTAAACCATAGTCACATAGACCCCCACACCACACAATAAGTATCATATCAACCTCTTGAAACCAACTCCTGCTGTTGGTCTGGTTCTTTGGGTTCATTAGCCTGCACTGGTAATAAAAACAGCCCTACTCCTGATGGCAGCTCAATATCACAGATATGTCAACTCTGAAAATCTATTAGATTAAAAACACAACACACATATGGTTTCTAATCAGTAATTTAAATAAGGGTTAGGGGTATAAATATGTGCCCTGCTTGTTGGATTAACTGAGCAAAAGAACCTGGTAGCTCGTAAAAAAAACCCAAAACCCTGTATATTGCAGAAACTTACATACAGATAAATAAAAACTTAGCAGATATAACGTAACCTTGTGTTAGCATCTCTCACTTACTGGTAACTGTGTGTGGCAGGAGGCTTTCATGTGCTGCTACTCTTAGCAAGAAAGAGACATTTATGAAAATTGGACAAAATAAACTTTTTTTTTGTGCCACACCAAAGAAAAATAAATGTTTTAACTGATGTATTTAAGGACCAGAATCATGTTTGTGTGCAGCTAATACTATGTAAGCGAGCCTTATGTTGATTCATTGATTTCAAAGTAGGTTTTTTTTAAGTACACATCTTTAACTTGGTCTCTGTTGGTGGGCTGCAGGAGCACACGGAGGTGAGGTCAGCCTTTGATGGTATCTGTCAGACAGGCTCAGGGCGTACACTGCAGAAAACTCAAATTAATGTAAAGGAAATGTAAAACAAAGCACCGAAACACTAGCATAGCTATCGATACTCCTCCAGTTGCCGCCCAAAGGTACAGGAGAAGGAGAAGGAGGTGTCTTCCTCCTGGATAAAGCTGCACCTGCGCCCTGCCTCCTGTCTCCTCGTCACCTCACCGCCCACCGGTTTGTTTCCTGCTCGTCACTCAGTTGTTGTGTCTGAGCTACAGCGCTTATTTTTCAACTTCAGCCACCACATCATGGAGTCCTAAAAAAACCGCTTTCCCCTGTGAAATGCGGAGTGACGAGTGACAAACCGGACAGCGAAGGGCCACCTCTGTCGGGAGGGAGAGTGGGGGAAAATGCAGGACACAACCGGCAAAGCAGCCTCCGGGAACCCGGCTGGAGACAGCGGCGCAACCGCAGAGCAGGTAGGAGCAATGCAACTTTGTTATTCTGGCTTTCACCGCATCATACAGGACTCTGTGCAGGTGTAAGACACACGCCAGCGTCCTGATGTAACTCCAGAAGCCCATTACGACTTTACGAGCAGTTCAATGTCACCAACGGGCGCTTTCAGTTGTCTGAAAGATACCGTGTTCAGATGAGGCGGTCCAACCTGTCCGCCTGCATTGCTCTCAGGCTTTTCCTCTTCGTCTGCAGCAGATAAAGCCCTTGCCTCGGTTCAGTTGTTCAGCAGTTGTGTTTACCTTAACTTTTCCCCGCTGTGTACATCCCACATGCACAATGAGTACTCTGCTAGAAAGACTGGTTCAATAGTGGAGCAAATGTGTAGAAACGGGAAATAAAACGATTCGTTTCCCTCTGAGGTGTGGCTGTGGTATATTAAGTGACTGTGTGGGTTTTTGGGGGTTATAATTGAAAATGATTGCTGCTACTTGTTATTCTAAGCCCCCACTCTTTAAATCTCAATGGGACAACTTATAAAATATATCTGGATTTTAATCGTCGAAGAATAGTAATCACCACAAGAAACAAGAGTAACTGTAACCTTAAAGAAGTTTTGTTTTGTTTTTTGACCAACAGATTTTACCATGTGCATCAGATTGTCCACATCATATCTGTTTGATGAAGTGTGTAAAAGCCAGT